CCTTCACCATGAGACTGGTGAAACTTGGCACTCAGGAAGGACATCAAGGCCAGGGAAGGCATTTTCTCCTAAAGGAAAGAACATACCTGCTACTGTAAAGCTATTTGGCTACTGATATTATTTATTCTGGTCTGTGGGATCCATTTTGATTTGTAACCCTGAGAGGATGGGGCAGAAGCAGGGAAGAAAATGGTGGCAGACAGCCCTAAGGCTACTTACTGCCCTTGGTTTTGAGACAACCTGGATTATTTCAAGCCAAGACATTCTTTCCAGAAACCCTACTTCAGTCTGAGCAGCCTCCCACAGCTAATCACAAGCCTGCAGTATCAAAGGCAGTGGAGGCCAGGCAGTCTCCTTGGGTTATCCGGGGCACCTCTCTATGTTTCAAAGGCCTCCTTGCTCTATCTTTCACACCAGAAGCTTATCTGGCAGAGTCTGGGTCATGTGCGGAACTTAGAACTGGAGTGAGGGCAGACTTCCTCCAAGAACAGAGCCTTCCTGCCCGCCTTACTGGTGGCTCCTGCCTTTTGCTTTAGCTCCCCTTGGAGCAACATCATTATGAAATGTGTATTAAATGTCCACTGAGTGCCAGGGACTGAGGGGTTAGGCACCATGGCTGTGGTCACTAGTCTTAAGGAGGTGACCGTCCAGAATGTTATTTATTTATCTATTTCATTTATTTTTATTAGTTGGAGGCTAACTACTTTACAATATTGTAGTGGTTTTTGCCATACATTGACATGAATCAGCCATGGATTTACATGTGTTCCCCATCCTGAATCCCCCTCCCGCCTTCCTCCCCATCCCATCCCTCCGGGTCATCCCAGTGCACCAGCCCTGAGCACTTGTCTCATGCATCCAACCTGGACTAGCGATCTGTTTCACATTTGATAACATACATGTTTCGATGCTATTCTCTAAGATCATCCCACCCTCGCCTTCTCCCATAGAGTCCAAAAGTCTGTTCTATACATCTGTGTCTCTTTTTCTGTCTTGCATATAGGGTTATTGTTACCATCTTTCTAAGAACTTTAAAACAAGGATGTTTGCCGCACACTAAACTCCAGTTCATGTTTGGGTCCCGAAATTCCTAGTAAATCTCTTTGTTTATGATATAAACTAAACTGCTCCAGTTACTGCTAGTAGTAGTTTGAAGCTGGATCCACTGCAGGTGACCGCTGACTATACTATGAGATTCAACTATCTCCAATAAAGAAAGCAATTCAGGGACTTCCTTGGTGGTCCAGTGGATCAGACTTCCAATGCAGGGGGCCTGAGTTTGATCCCTGGTCAGGTAACTAGATCCTGCATGCAGAAAGGATGATCACACGTGCCGCAACTAAGATCCAATGCAGCCAGTTAAATAAATTTTAAAAGATATTTTAAAAAATAATAAAAATATGATGATTCCTAAGGTGTTCCCAAAGGCTGGCAATCACTGTCGTCTTCCTTGAGGCAGTGGTACTATGTGATACAGTGTGGTGCAAAGTGAGTTCTCTGCCAGAGGCTAAAAACCCTTATAACAGAGTCAGATTTATCAGCTTCTCTGGCCTTCCTCTCTGGTGGTGAGGGTGGTGAGGGTGAAGTATTCATTTAGGGCAAGGTCAAACAGGTCTGAGTTCAAACCTGATTCTGCTACTTACTCAGTGGTGTGACCTTGAACCAGTTACCAAACCTTTCTGAATCTGTGTTTTCATCTGGAAAATAACAATACTACCCACCTCAAAGAGCAGTTGTGAATATTAAATAAGACCAGTATTAAGCACCTAGGGAAACAACAAAAGCAGTAATGAAAGCATCAACTTTTTATTCTGTCTACTCTGTACCTGGTACGTTCTGAGTGCTATTTTTTAACTTATGTAATCCTTATAGTAGTACTATCTGCATTTTGTAATTGATAAACTGAGGTATACCAGCTAAATAATTTGCTTCAAATCACAAATGTATTGAGTGCCAGGGCCAAGACATGAACCCAGACAGCCTGCCTCAGAGGCTCTTAACCTCAAAGTTTTTTCTCCCATCTCCTTAAGCAGGAGATGCTGATCTTTGTGGAAAATTAGCCATTCATTTATGCACATATTGGGTCACTAAATTGCATAAACCTGTTAAGGTATGTTCCTTATTGTGTAATTTGGGCTTCCTTTGTGGCTCAACTGGTAAAGAATCTGCCTGCAATGTGAGAGACCTGGGTTTGATCCCTCGGTTGGGAAGATCTCCTGGAGAAGCAAACGGCTACCCACTCCAGTATTCTGGCCTGGAGAATTCCATGGCCTGTACAGTCCATGGGGTCGGAAAGAGTCCCACATGACTGAATGACTTTCACACTTTCACTTACTGTGTAATCTGGCACAAGTTATGTAAGACATCTGTCCTCAGTTGCCACAGCTGTAAAATGGGGATATTAACAGACCTGGGGTGCTGCGATTCATGGGGTCACAAAGAGTCGGACATGACTGAGCAACTGAGCTGAACTGAACAGTGCTTTCTTCCTAGATTATTAGAAATAAATGAGTTAATCAAGGTAAAAGGATAAGAACAGGGCTTGGCACTACTGGCAGGCTCCATGTAGGAAGTAGCTTTAACATATAAATTCACTGAACAGTGTGATATATTAGAATTCTTTGGCTTTGGTGCTTGGTAAAGATTTTGTGGCTGGCTCCATCTAGTAGTTTCAAATGTCCTTGCTCTCTGGCAAACATACTGGATTTAAAAAACAAGTTTAAGTTCTTAATCCATCAATGAATAAACCAGTCAGCAGGATTCTGATTAGAAAGAAATTAGGCCAGGCCTAAATAAAATCAGACTGAAAGCAAAAATTGTAATAGTAATAAAAAAAATCAGAGCAGTCTTCCTGGGGTTTTTTCAGGTTATGAACTGAAGTCCACCCATTGGATAAATGTTACGGCTACTGGGCAAAGAGCTCGTGAAAAATTTATGGCCTGGTAAAAAAAAATCTCTGGGTGATGTAGGTTAAAACAACTCTATTCCCAATACTGTTGAATACCATGAATTTTAGAAAGGAAAAAGGGCAGCTTTTGTGAACATGTTGGACATAAAACACCACTTTAAAGGAAAAGCTGGAGAGCAAACCAGCTTATATGAATAGTTCTGCAATGATTTTTATGGCTTTGCATTTATTCATCTTGCACCACGTTTAAATTTACAATAAAAGCAAAACAAAGTGCAACACTCATTACTCTAGCTGTCTTTACATGTTCCACTGAGATACAAAACAGGACTTCACTACTCAGATTTTAAGGGAATGGGGAGCTCATCTTATTTCATGTCTGTAGCTGCTGCTGCCATAGCACCATGTTCCAATCATGAAATTCATAACATAAATCTCTTGCAGATGATAACCACTGGAAAACAGAAATGGCCCTGGATCCAGAAAGGCTTCCAAATTTCCCCCCCAAAGTTCTCATCTGTGTGCCCAGAGACTGGTGCTGAGTGTTTTATTCAATGAGTGAGGCCTGTTGGGAAACCTACATGCTTTAGGAGACTTAATGAAGAAATTTGAACCGTTCCCTGGTTCTCTATTAGCCTTTATTACTTATTTCACATTTGACAATACCAAACACTTCACAACTGCTCTAACTTATCTCAGAGTGTTTACATTTAATCTGAAAACATACCCCTGTAGCTTATTCTTAATTGTCAACAAGAGCTCATACAAATTTCAGCAGGTATCAAAAAAGAGGATCTCTGGAACTGTCCAGAAAAGAAGCTGCATTTCCTGCTCCTTAGATGAAAGATCTTTTCGAGGTTAGAAGACTACAGGAGTCTTTTAAATCGACTTTAGGAATACCCCTGGGGCATCATCAGGCCTTCTCGGTGAGTCTTTGTCTCCCAGTGCTTCCCAAGGTAGTCCCCAAGAAAGGCTTTGCTATTCAAATTGGGACATCTGCTGCTCTCCAGATTTGTGTTCTTTTTTTGAAAGGCAGCACCCCCAAGAAACTCTAGGATATTATGAAGCCTAAGAGTTGGGGGGGGGTTGGGGAGGAAATCTTTGTCTCCCTAAGACATTCATCAGTTCCCTCCGCTTAGGCAGCACCTCCCTCGCCACCGCCCCCCACACCCTCAGCACGCCTCTGCAGCGACTCCCCCAAATACACCATGGAAAAGATTCATGTTGCAATACCCTCGTGACATTCCTATTCCCGCCCTCGTTTTAATTCACTCACTTTTTTTTTTTTAAAAACAAAATGTAATTACTTGACTGTCAGCCTGGGCTGCACTCTGGGGCTTTTACTCCTTTCAACACAGCTGCGCTCCCGGCTTTGATGCTGCGGTCTACGCAGCTTGTCCCTGCCACAGCCTGGCTCTCGGTAATGTAACATTCAAGTGCATATTTATTTTTAAACTGACCTCTCGGGCTGTACAGTATAAAGGTCCTGCCAAAAAACGTTACTTTCTATTTATAAGATGAAACACATGCCTCCCGAAGTCAAGAGGGGGATGGAGCATAATAATTCATAACAAAAAAATGACTGGCCAGATTCATTCGTCCTCGTGTCTGATACTTGTCTATGTCAAGACAGTTTCAAAGAGAAAGGGGAAAAAACCTTGAAAACACTTCAGTTGTTCAGAAACCACCGTAAAAAAAAAAAAAAAAAAAGCAACTGCCAGATCTGCAAGTTGGAGCCTCAGCCACAAAGTCCTCAAGTGGAAACAGGGCACCGGAGATCTGAGCCGTGCACCCTTGTGCGGCCCTGATGCCAGTCCACAGTGGGAGGGGAGCGGTAGCCATGTGCGGCTTGTTCTCAGATGGAAAAATGCAACACGCGCCCCGAATGGCTGTCAATAGCTCGGAGGGTGCAGTGTAGCCGCGCAGCCTCATCCTGCAAAGTGGTAGGCACAAAAGGTGAAGCTCTGCGTCCCGATCGTGCCGCGTGTACCCCCACTCCCCCAGCTTGCTCTGTGCTCCCCATGGTCCTTTGGACACCAGCTCAAAGGTGATGCCTTGGTAATCCTCTCTCCCTCTGCTTTACCAAACCCAGCAGCCGCGCACGCCGGAAGCCGCCACGGCCGCCGGTGGGACAGACTCACAGACGCGCAGAGAAGAAACCGTGGGCAGGCAGCAACTCACCAGCGGCGCCAAGGATCCCAGCCGCTGACCCAGGGACCGGGCGCCCGGCACCGACCTCCCGAGGGCGCACGCAGTCCCTGCCCGCCACGCGCAAATCCAAAGCGGTCGGCCGGCGCGGCGCCCGCTCACAGCATTATCCGCTCCGAGATGGCGTGGAGGCGCCCAAGGCCGGGGTCTCTAGGCTCGCCCCCAGTTCGGGCCCCACGGCTGCGCTCCCCGCCCTGTCGGGCAACAGCCGGGAGGGAAGGTGCGAGCTAGACTGAGCGTGCAGCCGCTGGACTCCCGGACTGAACCTGCGGAGGGCGGGGAGGCGCGGGGCGGGGCCGGCAGCGCACGGGGCGGGCCGGGGCGGGCCGGCGGGCGCGGGCTGCCGGCCGACCCACCCAGCCTGGGTACCTGCGCCCCGGCCCGGAGCGGGCGGACTGGGTTCACCCGCTGCGGGGCCTCCGGGCCCCCGGAGGACAATGGGCTTTCATTGTTACGGCCCCAGCGCCACCCCCAGGGATGTGGTTTCCCTGCGAGAGGATGCGTTCAGCTCCCTCCGCACAAAGAAAGGATTCTGGACGCTCGGTTCAAAGAGGGACCTGGAGTGCAAGTTCCAGGTGCCCCCAAACAAAGGGACTCATCCCGCACCCCAGACACCTGTACTAAACCTCGTGCGCCCACCTCTTTCCGTCCCAACGACCCTAACCCGGCAAGGCTCCGGCGCGGCGGGCGGGGACTCTGGCGGAGGAGAAGCCACTTGACCGCGCCGCCCGCGTCTGGCCGCGGGCCCCCGGGCCACTCGACGCCCGGGTTTGGGAGGAGGGTCGTGTTCTGTCAGTTTCCAGCCTGATCCCCTTGGAGCTGCCGCCAAAACCCGGAGAGTGGATTTGGCAATTGGAGACGCCAGGGGCTGCTGGCTGAGCAGGGGCACACGAACTGCCGACGCTGCAGGTTTTTCCAGTCCAGGGGGAGGCGTTTCCTCTCCCGCGGGGACCCTAAAAGAGATCTGCCCAAAGCTGGGGCGAGCGGGTGGAGGCTGCCGGGGCCGAGCGACCGGGCACTAGCGGCGAGGCGGCGGCCCTGGAGCGTAAAATTCCACCCTGGGCGGCACCTGCGCCCTCCAGCCATTCCGGCCACAGCCGCTGCGCGTCCCGCCCCTCCTCCCGGAGGCCGAAAGTGGACCGGGTTAATTAATTTTCTTAATCCGTCTCCTTCTCTCCCTACTCCAGCAGTCAGCCTGGGGAATGAGCAGGCGACAGGAAAGGGCGGTGTTTTCCGGTTGTAAGGCCCCAGCCCGCACGTTCTGCCTGGGGAGGGGACTGGAGCCCAGGAGAGCCTGGCACTCTGGGCCTGGCCCCGGCCCCCGGGGCTCTCAAATTGAATGGAAAGCCTACCACAGAGAGCGGTCCTCCAGGGGACCTTGGCTTTCCGGTGTGGTATCAGCTTCAGGTCATCATCGCAAGGTCCCTGGGTCTGTCTGAAACCTTAGAGGATGCACATTAAGCCTTACTTTGTAAACCTCGGCTGAAGTTAAGGTGAAGTGAAAAAGAAACAGACACAACTGCTCTGGAAAGCAAAATACTTGGGTGGAGTGTTAAAAGCCTCAAAGAAAATAATAGTTGGCAGGTCAAATGGCCATGAAGTTGGAAGTCAAATACAAAACTCAGCTGAAGTGATGTTAGAAATCTGACAAGCCAAATAGTCCGCGAAGAGACGAGACACCAGCATCGTTTCCTTTCTTCAAGTGACAACTACTCCGAAGTTTCCTTTGGCAGATACCTGAATTTTACTCCAGATTCTTGAGTTTTACTAGACGTTCATATTTCAAAATATATGTTCCCTTTGGCACTAATGTATATATTTTATGTATGAATTTATTGAAGAATGTTAAATGTTACTGGCCTACTTAGATAAAGGTATTTTATAAATATTTATGCATAGCTCTTATTGCACATGGTATTTTTATAAGTACAAATAATATGTATATATTTATTAGATATCACATGAAAAATTCCTTTTACACACACATTCTTTACACGTGTCTTGTGTGGAAACATTTTTTTTCATTTTGCTCTTGTTAGATTAGATGCTGTTCATAACAATTTATTTCCACATGACTAAGTAACTTCTTTTATATCTTGAGCAAATATAGAGTGGCAAGTTTTTTGAGGTAGCAATTTTATTCCCAAGCCCCATTTTCCCTTTACTACACTGTTCTTCAACTCCTGGAGACTTTCCCTCTCTACCCTTTCTTCATGAGACTTCACTTTTGGGCTCTAAACCATTAATCCCAAACCTACCCCTTCACGGGCCTAGTGGTGCTAATTTGATTTATCCTGGCTTCTTTGACATTCCACATTATTTATTTGCATTGAACATCTTGGTACTGAACATTTCCAGTGAGGGAGAATGCCCTTGTATAGTGGATTATCCTTCCAAGCTAGGTATTTCCTCTACTATGATGTTTTTTAGGTTTGTTGGATTTTTATTTCACTATGGAAGAGAGGGGGAAACTGCTTTAGGAAGACTTTTAAGGCTTTGGCGATTCTGCTCTGTGTTACAAAAAAGTTTAGCACCTTGAAAAATAGGTGGTTACCTTAGAAAACTAACTGAGACTAAAAAAGTGGACATAGGGAAGATATTTTGATCAGGTTCAATTAATGCACTTGTATCTATAGAACAAGCCTCTGGCAGGCCCAACGGTGAGCTATTTTTCTATTAGTCCCTGCCATGGGAGAAGAACTAAGAAGTGTCAGCAGAAACCTCCCATCTATTTAGGGGGCAGAGGGCAACAAGCCAGTGTATGCAAACAAGTGCAGACTCAAATATTCTGGCCTGTTGCCATTAAGTATAATCCTGGGACCAGCAGCACCAGCCTCACTTGAGCTACTGAATTGGAATCTTCATTTTAATGAAATGTAGATAGTTTGTGTGCACATTTGGTGTGTGAGAAGCACTGGTCAAAAAGTGTGGATCTCAGTCTTTTAAATCACAGACTCATTTTAAAGTCTCATGTGACTTAGGAACACTCTTATGAAAACACGAAGGGAGAATTACACAAACTCTTTTGCATTCAATTTCAGGGTTCACCCGAATGCTAATCGGTCAATGATGAGGAAGTCCTAAGTAAAACCTCCATAGTTTCAGAGGGGCTGCTGAGTGTCAGCCAGAAGAGTTAGGGGAGGATTCTTTCAGGAGGCAGAGCTTAAGTAAAATTTTTTTTTTTTTTTTTTTGCTTAAGTAAGTTTTGAAACATGAGAGAGACCAGACAGGGAGAGGAGTCAAAAAGGACATTTCAGGTGGAGAAATGCCTGGGTAAATCGGTCCAGAAGAGAAAACAACAGACATGCATTTCTACACAGAGTAAGGGGAAGCCCAATGAGGAGACTGTAGTTTGATAGCAGGGTTTCCTTGCAATTCATTTTTGCTGTTTGGACCTCTGAGAAAATGAAACTGGACTGTGGGTTCAGTGGCTCTTCCACTTGGCAGGGTCGGGGTGGGGGGCACCAGGAACCCTCTAACATGTGGTTCTGTTAATATGTAAGACCTCATTTCCAATGATCAGCTCTCCCTCGGTGGACCTTGGCCACATGGCCCCTAGGCTTTTCCAGGAACTCCAGCATGCCTGGGGCACTCCGTCTGCCTGGGTATGTCTTCCTCAGGTAACCGAAAGGACCTTTTAAGGTCTTTATTCAAATGAGACTTCAGCAGAGACTCTGTCCGTCTAGAATAGCAGCCTCACCCACCTTCCCTTTCCTTGCTCAAAGCAGGAAGAATTTCATTACTTGACATTACATTATATTTACTTATAGATTCATTTATGGCCTTTTTTTCCCAAATGTATTGTCTTTGTTTGCTGTTGTAGCTTACATACCTAAAATGGGACCTGGCACATAGTAGGTACTCAATAAATATATACTGAATAAGTGATCCCTTGACTACAACCAGTGAAGAACGTAAAAGCCGTGTTCACAAACTCCATAGCTCCACAAATAATAATGTATGAAACATGCCTGAAATATACCACACATATGCTGAGACTGTTTTCAACCACTTCTCTTTAGTCTAGCTGAACAAGAAATACTAAACACATGGAACATTTTAAGTCCTGAAATTCAAACATTTAAAAGCAAGGCTTACAAAAAATGTCTTTATAGCCCATGTATAATGCATAACTATTTCTCTTGTAGCAAAGCTGAAACACACTGGTGTGTACTCAGCTGGGGTTTTCCTCCAAAATGCCACATTCAGACTGAATTCATATGTATTGTATGTTCTCGATTATCCCAAGTTTGATTTAAGGAAAAATGTAAGAGAAACTGAAAGTTTAGAACATTTTGAACAAGAATGTCCTTATACCTGGAGGATTCCTCTCCTTGCTACCCAAATAGAATTGCACCAGTCCTGGAAATAAAGTTAATCTGTGCTAATGAATTTGACTGAACAGCTGCCAAAATTAAGGAATTTTCTAACCAGTGATTTCCCTGTAAATAAAGAACGTCAGGTCACATCTTGGTTAGGAGATTTCAGTTTCACCTAATCAAATACAGCAGGAAATGGTATATATGAGACAGTGTGAGCATGAAGACTGCAGTCCTAGCATACAGCTCTGAGCAGATTAGACAGTGAACCACCAGATCCTAGGACTCTTGGCATTTGAATTAGCTTTTGCACTCAGGCAGCACCGATTTTATTTGTGGATAAGACCTTCAAATATAGATGCATACTTGGTTTTGATTGTTGACTGGAAACCAGTGACTAATAAATAGCATTATCTAATACTTAAATGGTCTTCCAGGCTTAAAAAGAGAAAAAGAAAAAGAAAAACACATTCATCTCTTTTCTTTCTCATCTTAGGTTGTTTGTCCATGTGGGTAGGTGAGGCCCTTAGGACTGATTTACACTTTGTCTCTTTCCAGAAGAGATTCTAGGCAATGTAAAAGGCTTCTGTGTGTAATGAGGAGTCATTCCTATTATGTTCTTTGTGACAGGTTCTTTTTCTGGATAGCTGTATGTCTCCCTCCTTAGATTCTTTCAAGGCTTTGCTTAAATCTTAGCTCGCCAGAGGCCTTCAACATGTCCAATATATCGGCCTTCCATCTCCAAACATTCTGCATCTGCAGATTCAACCATCTATGGATTGAAAATATTCTGCTTCCCTACATGCATGTGTGCTAAGTCACTTCAGTCATGTCTGACTCTTTGCAACCCTATGGACTGGTAGCCCGCCAGGCTCCTCTGACAGTGGGATTCTTCAGGCAAGAATGCTGGAGTGGGTTGCCATGCTCTCCTCTAGGGGACCTTCCTGACCTGTGGATCAAACCTGTGTCTCCTGCAGCTCCTGAATTGCAGGGGGATTCTTTACCACTGAGCCCTGGGGAAGTCCATTCTGCTGTCCTAGAGAGTTACAATAAGCAAAACCTGAATTTTCCATACACTGACAACTATTTACATAGTGTTTATGTTTTCTTAGGTATTACAAGTAATCTATAGATGATTTAAAGTATACAGGAGGATATGTATTGGTTATATACAAATACTATGCTATTTTATATAAAGAACTTGAGTATCTTGTGATTTGGGGATTTTCAGGGAGAACTGAAACCAATACCTAGGATTGACTGTATAAAATGTCACTAATGGCCCTCTCTATCTCTTTACCCCCCTTGACTCATAACACTTACCATTCAACATACTGTATATTTCTTGATTCTCTCCTCTACCCAACATCACTAGAATATAAGCTCCATGAGGGTGAAAGCTTCACTTGTTTTATTCACTGCTGCATCCCAACAATTTGATCAGTGTTTAGCACATAGTAGGGACTTAATATATATTTGTTGAGTGAGTCAATGCATACCTTCTCAAAACTTAGTACAATACCTGGTACATGATAAATATTTGTTGAATAAAACAATGCTTTATTGAATGAATTAGAGAAAGGTGTGTGATTCATTCAAGGTCATGCAGACAGAGATAATTTGGCTTGTATAGATTTCAGGGAGGCCTGACTTGCTATAGACCAGGGGGTTGCGAAGAGTTGGATACGACTTAGCATCTGAACAACAACAACATAGATTTTAATCCCTACTAGTTCTTTCTCTGGTGTCTCTTCGTTTGTATACTGG